GAATAGCAATCCATTGCCTTGTGCCCGTACTTGTTGCAATGGGTGCAAGAGCCAGGGAAGATTCCGCGTCTGCGTTGACCTTCTCCACTTGTTCCGCCGCCATGTTGCACACTCCTTCCCTTGAATTTCAGACTCTTGGAGGCACCAGAATCCAACCCTATGGACTCTGGAGGAATTCCGCTGAAGTCGGCCACCGAACTGCACCGTACCAATTTGTTACACTCGGCGAATTCGCGACACGAGATGTCACGAATTCGATGTACATGTGCGGTTCGTTTTTTTCTTGTCGTTATATATTTGTGTGCTTGTATGCTTGTCAACATAGTGAATACTGGAATTGCTTGTACACGGTACAGCTTATTGAAATTCCAGAGAGCTCACGTTTGCTGACATCCTCATAGTCTCTAAGCTATTTCCAGCCATATGTCTGCCGTCTCTTAACCGTTTGGCAGGATCTTTGGCTTGTTGGAAAGCTAGATCTATCCTCTGTTTTGTGACGTTGTATTAAGCAACTGAGCTCAAGAGGATCGTGTCTTCTTTCAACCTATCAGAGCCAGCGGAGGTGTTCTAGCTTTCGTAGCGTCCAGCCATTATGTCGACGACAAGCGAGGTGTCTCGTACTGCTGGTGAGGATGTCGTCAAGAACACTGGTGATTCGTGGGGCGCGACCGCGATTGTGATCGACACGTCGGCGGTACCTATTTTCACGGGACAACACTACTCCGCATGGAAATTCAATTTCCAAGTGCTCATGATGGAGCGAGGACTTTGGGGTCTCTTCGACGGAACAGAGACCAAGCCCAAAACGACCCAGGAGGACATCACAGCATGGATAAGGCGGGACCAGAAGGCATTTGCGACGCTGACCTCGCGGCTTGGCATTAACCTCGTGAGCTTGGTGCGCCCGTGCATCAAGCTTGACGCATCAGCGTATGAAGCGTGGAAATGATTGGAGTCGGTCCACGTTAACAAGACCCTCTATGGCAAGATCCAGGCCCGACGCGCCTTCTTCACGGCGAAATGGCGAGAAGGCGAGTCGATGCATGAGTATGCAACCCGTGTGGAGGAACTCGGAGAAACATTTCTCGACCTCGGAGGCTCCATTGACCACGATGATTTCATCTGACCCTGCTTTGCGGCCTTCCAGAGGAGTGGTCTACCCTTATCACCACTCTTGAAGGCATGCAAGACACGTGGACGAAGGAGATGGTTGTGTCCCGGCTTCTCAACGAGGAAACTCGCTGTCGGCAATTCATCAACGACAACGCGGGGACGGCAATGTTCTCGGGGGCGAATTCCGGAAAGAAGCAGTCCAAGTGGGGCAAGGGACAAGCAAAGCGTTTCTCTGGCGAAGGTTAAGCCAACTGCAAAGGGAAAGCTGCAATCGTTTCCGGGAAGTGCCACTATTGTGGCAAAAACGGGAACTTTTGGTGTGATTGCCGTAAGCGACCCTTTGATTGGACTCCAACAAAAGGGCGGAGTCAAGATGGTCATGCCAACACGGCTTCCGGCGAGGCGGACAAGCCAAATGAGCCACTTGTGTTGCTGGCCGGCGATGAGATCAGCTCCACGACCAACAAATGGTTCTTGGATATGGGTGCGACTCAACATATGATGCACAGCAGATCTTCTCGACAATCTCGGTGCAACTAGGGCGGTTACATGTATCATTTTCGGAAATGACATGTCGTTGCCAGTGGCTGGTGTCGGAAGAGCTCGCTTGATCGTCGATTGCGGACCCGTGGACATCACGAACGTGCTGCATGTTCCGGGGCTGAAGGTGAATGTTCTCTCCGTGTTACAACTTACCAAGACCGGTGTGACAGCTACCATCGACGCAGAAAAAGTGACGCTCTATCGGAAGGGGAAGCAGATTGCACATGGCTTTCTTAATGGGCAGCTGTATCAGCTCAAGAAATACCCGGAACCAGCTTCCTCACACGAGGCGTATGGCTCTAAGGCAACTCTGAAGGTGTGGCATAACCGCCTTGCTCATGCAAACCTCGAGTCGGTCAAAGAGTTGGCAACAAAGGGACTCGCGGAGGGCTTTGACGTGGCAGCTGGAAATGCCGATGAGGACGTGTGCGTGGCATGCATCGAAAGGAAGATGGCTCGCAAGCCATTTGGCAGCCGCACCTCGCCTCTCGCAAAGGATCCGCTCGCACTTGTGCACATGGACGTATGTGGACCCATGCGTCGTCCGTCGAAAGGAGGAGCTCGGTTCCTCGTGGTGATGCTCGATGATGCCACACGTATGTGCTGAAGTCGGCTACTGAAGGCCAAGGGAGATGCCTCTCAAGCCATTCAAGAATGGGCTGCCCAAGTATGCAATGGACCTACGAAGCGGATTCAGTGTATTCGGTCCAGCGGTGGGAGCGAATTCGTAAATGCGGATCTGAAAGGTTGGATGGCGCACAAAGGCATTCGCCATGACACATCAACTCCGTCCACACCCCAACAAAATGGTGCAGCCGAGCGTCTCAACCGGACATTGATGGAGAGCACATGATCTCTACTCCATCATTGTAAAGTCGGGGAAGAGTGGTGGGGAGAGGCTAGCGCCCTTGCAACCTGGATTCGCAATCGCTTGCCGACCAAGGTGCTGCCAAGGGTTACGCCGTTTGAAGCTTGGACGGGAGGGAAGCCGAATCTCTCCCTCTTGCAGACCTTCGGGTGTCTCTGCTATTACCACGTCCTCGACCCCATGCGTCACAAGTTGAAGCCGAAGGCTCGGGAAGCTATTTTCTTGGGTATAGCTGCTAACGAGCACGCATGGAGTGTGGGACTTGGGTGAGCAGCGGGTTATCACCTCGAGGGATGTGGCTTTTGCGGAGAACAAGTTCTCTTTGAAAAAATCAGCAGTGCCGCAGCTCACCTTCATTCTTCCACCATTGGAGAACAATGAGAGGAGTGAGGTCCCACCAACGGAGGGGGAAAGAGCATTCAGAAAGAAGACAAGGTTGCAGATGGGCAGCGCCCAGCAGCAGAAACCTCTTCCAACTCTCCATCCCTTCCATTGGCTCTTGCCCGTGAGAGCCGTGCCCCTCATCCCAACCCAAAGTACGCAGACTTCGCTACAGTTGCTGTTGGGGAGATGGATGAGGAGCATGCTGGACCTAGGTGGTGACGACCCTAGGACACATGCTGAGGCAATGGCTGCTCCGGATTCCCAGCTGTGGGAGGAAGCCATGGATATGGAGCTGGCCTCCATCAAGGACAACTAAGTCTACGAGTTGGTTGACCCTCCGAAGAGTGCGTACCTGGTGGGAGCAAAGTGGGTGCTGAAGAAAAAATATGGAGCTGATGGGTGCGTGGAACGCTACAAGGCAAGGCTCGTAGCCCAAGGGTACACGCAGTGAGAAGGTGAACACTACAGTGAGACCTTCGCCCCTGTCACCAAGGTCGCAACCCTCCGTGTACTCCTCACCCTAGCAGCAGCCCTCAACCTCGGAGCAGCTAGATGTGTGCACCGCCTTTCTCTACGGGGTGCTACATGAGGAGGTTTACATGCGGCAGCCGCCGGGGTATGACGACGGTACTGGGAGGGTGTGGAAGCTGAAACGCACTCTCTACGGGTTGAAGCAAAGTCCTCGGGGCTGGTACAAGCGCATAGATGACTTCCTACTGCAGCAAGGCTGCACTCGGAGTGCGTGTGATAGTACCATGTACGTGCTGCAGCGAGATGAGAAGCATTTGGTGCTGATTCTTTACGTTGATGACCTTCTCCTCTTCTCAGACTCCACCTCTCTGATTTGGAAAGTCAAGCAGCAGCTAGGGACCGAGTTCTCCATGCGGGACTTGGGCCCAGCCATGTACTACCTCGGTATGCACGTGGACCGGGATTGGTCTAATGGGACCATCCACCTCCATCAACGGAAGTACGTAATGGGGGTACTGGACCGCTTTGGAATGGGCAGCAGCAAACCAGTGGGAGCGCCGCTAGCTACCGGATTCTCTTCCCTCACGGGAGAAGAAGAACCAGCCATCGATGAAGCTGAGGGGAAGCGCTTTCATTCGCTAGAGGGCCCACTCATGTATGCCACTGTTTCCACTCGGTCCGACCTTTCATTTGCTGCTGGGGTGCTCGGGAGAGCCGTCACAAGCCCGCACGTTGAGCACATTCGAGCCGGTGCACGCATGCTTCGTTACCTCAGTGGGACACCAAGCATGGGGCTGATGTATGAAGCAGGCCCTGTCGAACTCAAGGGCTATACAGACGCGGAATGGGCTGGCGATGCAGCCACCCATAAGAGCACGTCCGGCTATGTCTTCACATTGCTCGGGGCAGCAGTGAGTTGGCAAAGCAAGAAGCAGCCGACGGTGGCATTCAGCTCAACAGAAGCCGAGTATGTACCTCTGACCCAAGGAGCTATGGAAGCCATTTGGCTGCGCCGTTTGCTTGCCGAACTTGAGCATGAACAATGCAGCCCTACACCCCTGTTCGTTGACAACCAGGCAACAATCAGCCTTGCACACAATGCTGTCCTTCACGGCCGCGCAAGGCATGTTAAGGTAAAGCATCACTTCATTCGTGAAGTGGTTGAGATAGGCGAGGTGATACTCAGTTACATCAGCACCAAGGCACAGCCTGCTGATTTTCTCACGAAACCACTTCCCAAGGATGCTTTTCGAGCATGTTGTGATAGAGTTGGTATGCACCCTTAGTGGCTTGGGTGCAAGGGAGGGTGTTGGAAGGAAACCGCTGGTTGGGCGGTTTCGTGACCCCAACCCACCGTCTCTCGGTCCTTTGGGATTGAATGGGCTGAGAGGGTGGAGGGGGCGGCTGCTGGAGAGGCATTGACCTCGCAGTTGGGTTCCACGTGGAGGCACCAGAATCCAACTCCATGGACTCTGGAGGAATTCCGCTGCCACCGAACTGCACCGTACCAATTTGTTACACTCGGCGAATTCGCGACACGAGATATCACGAATTCGATGTACATGCGCGGTTCGTTTTTTTCTTGTCGTTATATATTTGTGTGCTTGTATGCTTGTCAACATAGTGAATACTGGAATTGCTTGTACACGGTACAGCTTCTTCAAATTCCAGAGAGCTCACGTTTGCTGACATCCTCATAGTCTCTAAGCTATTTCCAGCCATATGTCGGCCGTCTCTTAACCATTTGGCGAGATCTTTGGCTTGTTGGAAAGCTAGCTCTATCCTCTGTCTAGTGACGTTGTATTAAGCAACTGAGCACAAGAGGATCGTGTCCTATTTCAACTCCGCCAATGTCTTCGGCCGGCTACACGAGACGTTGCCCTTGTGCGCCTCCCACTCGTCCGATAGTCCGCCGATGACGTAGCTGATCATTTGCTTCTCGGTCTCGGGTACGCCCATTACCTTCAACTCGTCTCCATGGCTCTTGGCACGATTCACGTACTCCGCGTTCGTTTTATTGGGCTTCAAGTGGAGTAGGATGAGCTTTTGGCACACGTTTGCCATGTTCGCCTCGGTCTTGCCCACGTAGAGCGAGTCCATGTAATCCCGCCCGAGTTGCGCGGCGTTGACCTCGTTTACGATGTCGTCCATCCCGATGGCGATTCTGTCCGCCCCCGAGTTGCAAAGTTAAAAGAGAGCATGCTCACTCTTCTCCGTGTACGCTGCATTCTCCTTGTCCAAAGCCGTTTTGTCTGGTACTTCGGTCTTAGTACTTCCAAAATCCAACCTCCTTAGCGCGCCACCACGTGCTATAATTCAAGCCAACAAAGCGTTGCACCTCAGGGATGATGGTCGGCTTGGGCACCACTTGTGCCTTGGCCAATGCTTCTTGGCTCTTGGCTAGAGCCTCGAGAAGACTTTTCAGCTCCGACTTATCGATGCTCACGGTTGAGCTCGAACTCGCCTCATCCGTACCATTCCCATGACTAGACATTGCTACGCCTCTTCTACTCATCTATCCTCTAGCCATGCCATGTGTGATTATAACGAACATGATAATAATAAGTCTCTGATACCAGCTTTAATTCGGCAGCGCCTCCGGCGGAGGACGTTGCTATGGCTGAGGATAGCAAGTAGGAGTTGATCTCTGCTAGAAAGCATGAGTTTCCAGGCATGAATCCACGGGAAATTATGATACATTGCAAGTGCAACTCACCCCTATTTAAACATACGAGAAAAAATGAGCAAACAAGGTAGAAGCGTTTCGCGTTTCAGCATTTGCTGCGGTCCGCGTTGAAAGAATTTGACCTCAGCTTCATAACCGAGTTGTTCACCGAAATTCGGTACTTTGTCGCTTGCTTGCCGAATAAGCACTGGTTGGTGGTGGGTTGACTTGTAGGAAGTGGCGAAGGCTCAGTTCGCCACTTCAGCAATTTCGTGGTAGTGTGAACATCACGGTCGATTCTGATTGGACCCCAGGCTATGGGCGACCCTCCATTTTCGTCACTCACATTTGGTGGCTCAGCACCACCAAATCCCAGCCCTCTGATTGGCCCGATTTTCCCCCTACCAGCAAATTCGCCCCTTGAACATTTCGGAGCGTTGTGATTGGCCCGCTCCACTTTCTGCACACCCCTTGAACCCAACCAGCCCCAAATTCGCCACACCAGCAATTCACCACCTATGTGGCTCAATCGCATTGGTTCAAACCTGAACATTTGCTCAGAGCTCCATCATTTTGTATCACCCCATGAACTCCCACAATTTCTGCTCCTCCATTCGCATCTCAACTTGTTCAGCCATTTTCCTCGTCACCCAGTCAGCTTCCTGCTCCAACCAATTTCTGCCACCTAGGATTTCACGCTGCCATATTCCCTGGCAGCGTGTTCTCCTTTGTACACGCCACAAACAAACCACTCTAACATTGGAAAGGTACGGAGAAGGGTGCTGTGAGGGAATGGACGCGGAAACTTGCTGGTGGTCAGAACGTTGGTATGCCACGAAGGGAATAAAGGTGAGTTGGTGGAAGGGCCTAGAACCGCAAGTGGCGCAGCAATAAGTGGAACATCTCCTTAAAGCCCGCGGCCCAAATTGTTCATACGCACTGCGTATGAACTGTGAGCCTCGGCTTGGATGAAATACACAGACAAATCGTGAGGGTGTTTCATCCCGCGAATTCGCAATTTGTCGTAGATCGTCCGATTTGCAAGCAGGTAGTGCGACGACTGAGATTACATTTCGATCGACTGGGGGAAGCACTTTACTTGCGTGCCGTCAGATGGAAATCCCTAAATATTGGACGGCTAAAAAACGCGAGGCACTGGGTGACCCAAAATACGTTCCGCACTGAACTTGAAAGCCAACCCCGAGTGACGCGAGTCACGTTATCCCCATCTTCACCCACGAAAACGTGACTTTCAAACGTAGTGAGTTTGAAGGTCGCGCCTCGCAATTTGGGCCGCGGGCTTTAAGTGTGTATCCCAACATTAACAAGGGTCGACGATATCGTCTTAGGGTTGCAGAGCTATAATTTCTCAATTTGCGATACATTGAATGTTTTATTGCGTACGTTCCATTCCGACATCATGCGTATAAACATTCTAGGAAATGGTATTTTACAATTTACACAAGGAAATATACTACTATATTGCAATTGCCATTTGAGTGCACTTTGTGATTTAATTTATATGTCATATTTCTAAACACCGTACATTACTTATGAAAGTGTAACTCATATTCTTTAGGGCGCATTCCTAGAACCTGATCCTAGGATCAAACATGCGGGAAATTATATTGCACCGTACTCAAATGCGTTTTAACCCGTTACACCGCATAGTATCGCGCAAGACTAATCGTGGGATTGGTAAACAAGAAAACGCCCTTATGTTCAGCAAGGCTAGCCAAAAACTGACAATCTACGCCTCTCCCAAGTTTCGATCTCTAGCCTCTTTGAACTCGAATCCATTTGTGAAACCACTAACTACATGAACTCATTCATATTGTGAAATTGTTTTATCAAGTCCTTTGTTTTTACGATGAAGGCCAGATTGCTGAGGTTTCTCTCAAGGGAACAAGTGACTAGAATAGGGCATACAGGGCCGTTTTGTTCTAAGTGTTGTATGCTCTATGGTATGCTCCTAGCTAGCCTATAAACATATACAAATATATATATGTTAACACAACCCCTAGGCTAGTCAAGGGGCGGTGTCAGGCTAGGGACACGAAGCTCAGGGTGGCACTTCTAGTCCAAGCTATGAGGCAAGGGTCAAAAGACCAGTTAGCAAGAGTACAAACAAGACAAGATCAAACCAGGGCGGCACTACTAGAACAGTAGCCACAAGGCCAGTCAGGAGAATATATATAAAACAGTAGTACACAATCAAGGACCTAGCAAGTGAGGAGCTACAAGAACAAGACCAAGCTGTACACAGTGCCGCTGGTGATCTTTAGGCGCAAGCGCCTTAGTAAAGATAAAAGCTGTGTTGGCACCAGAGGCCAAGTGTACTATGCGAGCCTGGCAGCGCTGCTGTAGCTCGCGCAGGAGAAAGTACCGCAGCTGGATGTGCTTCGCTCTAGCCTCAAGTCGTGGCTCCTGACACAGGAGGATCATGGCCCTGTTGCCAGCGTACAGAACCGGGGCAGAGCTAGGCCACTCACCTAAGTTGGTGAGCAAGAAGGTCAGCCAGCGGAGCTCCTGTGCCGACATGGCACCGGCGTAGATCTCAGCCTCACCGCTAGACTGTGCAACAAACGACGAGCGGGTGGACCTCGACGAGATGGTGCCTGCACCAAGGCTAAAGCAGTAGCCCTGGGAGGATCTGAGCAGCTCAGCGTCATCTGCCCACGAAGCACTGAGTGTCCTGTAAGGACCACTGGCCTACGTCCTCCTAGCACTAACCCCATGCCCGATGTACTTGCCAGATAACGCAAAACCCTCTTAGTAGTCGACCAATGCTGTGGTCGGTGTCTGCCTGTCGCCATAAAGCGAGCTAGGATGCTGAGAGGGTATGCGAGATCTAGATGAGTGCAAGTCATCAGGTACATGAGGCAACCCACCACCTCAGCGTACGGACCACTAGGGTCTACCGACTCGTCAGGGACTGGAGACGAGAGCCTGTGGTCTACTGGCAGAGGTGTGGGCCGTGCGGAGGAGAACTTAAGACCGAACCTCTGAAGGACCTGGTGCACCAAGTGTGACTGTGTGAGAATGATGGTGCGCGCTGATTTGTCACTGGATATCTGCAGCCCAAGGTAGCGGTGCAGCTCTCCTAGTTCAGTGCAGGTGTGTCTCTTCGGCAACTCGGCCTTCACAGAGGCCCGTGCGTGTCTGTCTGCTGTAGCGAAGTCCAGGTCGACTACGTAGACAAGGATGTGGAATGGAGTCTGGCCTGAGCGAACGAAGAGCAAAGGGTCTGCAGAGGATGGGAAGAACTGCAAGTTAGCTAACCTAGCACGCAGTGTGTCATGCCACTCGCCGGGCGCCTGTCACAGGCTGTAAACCGGGCGCTGGAGGAGCCTCTGGGTCCCCTGGGCGAAGGTGCCGGTGAAGCCTGGTGGGTGGCGCAGGTAGACCTGCTCGAACAGACTGCCTTGAAGAAATGTTGTCAAGAATTCGAGAGATCGCAGCTCATAGTCACGCTGTGCTGCTTCAGTACATGTAGCAGCACCCCAAGAGTAGTTATCTTCAGGGTCGGGACGAAGGTCTGGAAGAATTCAACACCTCACGCTGATTGAACCCTTTCGCGACGTAGTACGCCTTGAACACCGGCTCTCCAAGCGAGCGCTTCACCTTGAAGAGCTACCGGCCATTGACTACGTTCACCCAAGGTGGGGGAACTGCGTCGACATATGTGCCAGTGGATCTCCATTATGCCATCCCCGCGTCCACGGCAGCTATCCACTGGGAGGCTAAGAGTCCCGAGGTCGCCTCAGCGTAAGTGCGAGGGGTCGGGATGTCGTATGGGTCACCCTCAGGGACTAATATCATGGAGCAGAGATGAGGCGCGGTCTCAGACAGGAAAGCAAGCTCGTACTGCCGGTCCTCCAGGACGTCACTGCTAAGGGAAGCAGCACCCCCGAAGGACGGAGGAAGGGCTGGGTTAGAGACCAGAGCGGTTGTGTAGTCAAGGCGGCGACAGGTTCGGGCGATTCAGTAACGAGGGAGGCGAGGACCTGAGGAACAAGAGGGCTAGCGGTACGGAGGAAGTCAGACAGAGGAGGCGGAGCAACAACAAGCGACGATGGAGGAGGCGAAGGGAGGAGGGGAGGACAAGACGCGTGGGAACAAAGCAACATAGGGTGAGAATGCTGAACCAGGAGAGACAGGACGACAAGGAGAGGGATGGCGAGACCAGAAGTAGGACAAAGGCGTCGCATCAAGAAGCACATGAGGAGACACAGGAGGAGAACTAGGGGGGAAACGAGCCGGAGACAAGTTCGGCAAAGGAAAAATAGGGCCGTAGACAGGCAGGGGAGGCGGCGATGGAGGAGGCCACAGGTGGGCGGTTGGGGGAAGGAAGCCGGAGGAGGCGAAGGGTGGACACCGACAGCGACTGCTGCTGCTGCTGCTGCTCCACGCCGACACCAGAAACTACAGCTGCAACACGGCTACCTCCAAGATGCTCCACGCCAACAGCCCCAAGACAAGAACCCTCTCCAGCATCGGTGTCACCCTGAGGACCGCCGGGACAAGCCACGACAGTAACCCCAGGACTAGCACCCCCAGAACCAGCACCTCAGAAAGAGAACCCTTCCCAGCACCAGTGCGATCCCAGGACCGCCGGGACCAGCCACGATAGTAACTCCAGGACTAGCACCTTGCTCAATGCTTGCACCCTCAGAGCTCGTGGACCCCTGCGGCGGCTGCTGCTGCGGCGGTGGCTGTGGCTGCTACTGCGGCTGCTATGGCGCGACGGCTGCTGCTGCGGCGACAGCAAAGGAGGAGACACCGGGGCGGAGACAGGCGGCAAGAACAGTGCCGCGGTGGCACCTGAGTCAGCCGACTCCTCGGCCGGGACAACCGACGGGAGGGGGGTGACGTGAGCACACCAGACGGGGCAGGGACGGGAAGGGAGAGGAGCAGGGGCTACCGGGGGAGTGGGAACCAAAAACAGGGGCTGGGAAACCGGGAGACCTCGGTGGGGAAAGCGGTGGTAGAAGGAGACATGCTCGTCAATAGTGCCGTCA